AAAAAAAAAAAAAAAAAAAAAAAAAAAAAAAAAAAAAAAAAAAAAACAGTAAAAAGAATTCTCATCTTCGATAGTCTGAATTCGTTGTATCTGAAATACTGATATCAGGATGAAAAAATCTTGTTCACCGTATAGAGATAACCCACGAAAACAATACGAATTGATCCAGTAGGTCAATGGCTGAGCTCTTACTCGTTAGTCGAATGGAAGCCTATTAGAGGCGGTCGTGCGTGAAACAAAAGTGGAAGTGAGCATCGTCGAGGTGAATCGACTATGTCAATTGTCTCTGTCGCAGACAAAATCTACATAATATGGCGATAAGTATTATCAATGTATTTGTAGCTGTATTGATACAGAATAAATGAAGCATATTCTTTTCTCTGCATACACTAGATACTATGTCTGGAATTGGCAATTGCTACAACTGAGAGATAATGAAAAATAACAAAAACTATTAAACGTTAAAAGTATAACGATATGATTAATATAGAAAGAATATGTTCTGGTTTGGCATATGCTAAATCGTAGAAGTGATTTAATATAAGTGTAACTCTGTGAAGTGGTTTAAAAATATTTCAAATATTTAAATTACGTTCGTAACCTAAATCGTATTAATTGAACCGAATTGAAATACGATGAAAATGTCTTTAAATTACGATTTGTGTCGTATAGTTGTGTCGTTCTTAATAAAAGAAGCTAAGTGTCGATTAAGATAATAAATAAGAATTTCAAATAAACGCATAAAATTGTACTTATTCGGGCTAAATCAAGTGAATATCAAGAAAAGATATGTGTATTTAAGAATTCACTGTTGATCACTAAATTAATGAAAAAGAAAAAAAAAAGAAAAAAAAAAGAAAAATGCAGACCCTCGAAGTTTTCATGAATTCGACGCCTGACCCGTGGAACATGACATCACTATTGGAAAATTACACGTATTATAATGATACAAACATTACAGATTTACAATCGAGAAATCAATTTATACTTCCATGGTGGAGACAAATGATATGGACATTGTTGTTCGCGGGAATGATCATCGTGGCAACTGGTGGCAATTTGATAGTCATTTGGATCGTATTAGCGCATAAACGGATGCGCACAGTCACCAACTATTTCTTGGTAAACTTGAGCATCGCAGATGCGATGGTATCTACATTGAACGTCACGTTCAACTATATCTATATGTTGAATAGCCATTGGCCCTTTGGCACATTGTATTGCAAGATATGTCAATTCGTCGCTGTACTTACTATATGTTCCAGTGTCTTCACTTTAATGGCGATTTCTATAGATAGGTAAGTATATTGTTCTTAATCTTAAAGCTAGAATTTATACATTTATGCATTTATTTCATTTCTAGGTTTAATAAGAAACAATAATAAAATTCACAATTAGAAAAGAAATAAATCATTTTTTTATTAAGTGTGCGCTATTTGAAACGCTCACTCGCCAAATCGATTAATAATCCATAAAACAAAAAGTGGAGAAATGTGATGAAATAATATATATTGTTTTTTAAAATTCCCTTTAAAAATGTAAATTCGAATAAACATTGTAGAATGTATAAATGCAGATGTAGCTTTTAATGACATATAAAATCAATAAGATAGAATAGCCTTGGAATAATCGTTATTAATACTACAATTTTTGCGTGACTAAGGGAGTTAATCGATTTGGCAAGTGAAAAAGTGAAAAAAAGTAATAATATCAAATTCAGTCTTCAAATTATTTCTTTTATTATCATATATTTTAAAAAAAAATGTTCATTATCATATATTTTTTATTAAAAATTTTTCACAAAAATGAATGATAACTGTTCTGTTGCAATGTATTATTATTTGTTATTGATTCATCAGCAACAGTAATCATGTTTAATAGGAGGAATGAATTTTAACAGAATTTTACACAATTTTAATTTCCATCATATCTTTTCTCTTGTCACAGTTCTAACATTTGCTACAGATTTTCTTATATTAATGGCATTAAATTCTGAATCTTCGTTAAAGTCATATTTGAATTGCACGACGTGGGGTTTCGACCTTTCTAATTCTATCCAGTGCATTCACTGGTAACTCTTTAATTATTACTTTTCTGTCAATGATAGAATTTTTTAAAGATTTTCTTGAGAAAAAATCCTGATGAGTCATTTAAACTACATTAAGTTCTTCCTTTCTACTGGTTTTGTATTGTATCAATCATCTGGTGAAAAAGTGTTTCAAATTTTTTTTGCATGTAACTCGAATGGTAAAATCTGAATCATTAGGCAAATAACTATGTCCACTTACCAAAAATTTCATTTCAACTGACTCAGCTCTTATTTTTGTACTTTGAACCAATTTCAATAAATTTCAATAAACAGTTTTGATATTCCTATTTTGTCCGGCACACGAATCTGAATATGTTATTATTTTTTCAAAATTTCTTGAGACTCGCGAGATTTTTCAGTTTCTGGCTAAACGAATATATGGCTATATTTTTTTATTAAAATCATGGTAACCGAAATTGAAAACATTTATTCATAAATTTAAACATAAATTTTACTTATAGTAAGCTACCGGCGTAGTAATTTTAGGAAAAAGGCTAAAGCTTTTTCTAAGTCGAAAGAAAATACGAAAATTTCTTTAGATACTGCAGCCATATTACTACGAGCCTGTTCAGCTCATACTTGCTATAATTCATAAGTACTTGCTTCTGCGGTTAGACTGTAATTTAACTAATTTGACTAATTGATTGTAATTAACTAATTTATTTTACTTTATTTCTGATGAGACAGCACTAAACAATTTACCTTATCATTATAGCACTTGCTGCTGCGTTTGAATTGTATTATTGCAACGATTTATATTAAAGGAGTTAATCAGAATAGCTTCTAAAATAAATAATTTATTATTCGATGGCCAAAAAAAGTTTGTCTTTTAATGATGTTAATCCTTATTATTAGGGAAATTTATTATGAAATAAAAAAGTTAGGACTCAATCAAGTGCTTTGACACTTTAATTTAAAATAATTCAAAGAATGGAGTTAATCGATTTGGCCTGTGAAAGGTTCATTTATCGAATTTGTTGTCTTGTTAGACATAAATATTTATATTTTAATACGTCAAAACCCAAATTGGACGATATTTAAACAATAAGAAATAATCGTAATTCAAAATTTGTTAAAAATTACAACTTCGAAAATCTATTTATAATATAAATAGAATTTAATTAAAAGAAGGAAATTTACGAGAATTGATATTTTGTAAATATAAAAAAGATTGTGATTTGTGGGAAATGAAAAATTATCAATACTAATCAATTATTAACACATAATCTACGAATGCATTCTGCATGCATTATTATATAATGCGGATGATTTTTTCCACTTATAAGAAATTTAATGATATTTTATTAAAATAATTTGTGGCATACTTAACGTATAGACTTCTGAAAGCGAAAAATTCCGGATTAAATATTGAATTAGACGATGTCAAGAAGGACATATTATATTGTTATTAGTTTTTTTTGTAGATGGATACATAAAGATTTTCCATTTTTTTAAATAGAATTCTATATCTTTTTATATATCAATCAATGCAGCTTTTTATTTTCTATAAAAAAGAGTATTTATATCTAATTAATTAAAAGTAGTATTTATATCTAATAGTAAGAATATTTAGTAAGAATAATTATATCTAATATTTATATCTAAAAATTAAGTTAGAAGATTTTAATCTTAATTCTATAAAATCTATTGAAAGATAAAAAAGAGCAGTATACTTGTGTTTATACTGCCCTTGTTTTTCATACATTTTATGAAATTAAAATTATAATATATTATAATATCTTGTAATGATAAGCAAAACACACACGTAGAATTTTATAAATATTATATAAATATTGTATAATTATAAATTATAATCATATATTATATATTATATATTAAATTATATATTATTATATTATTTTTATATATTAATTATATATTTATATATAATTATATATATTAATTATAATTATATATTATTATATATTCTATATTGTATAAATATTATATAATTATATAAATATTATAAGTAATATTTCATTGAGTATTTCCATGTAAAATATAAAAAAAGCAAAATATGTAATTTTTTGTAGGATGTTTTGACTTCCCCAAAAACATTTTACCATGAATATTCTGATATAAACTGTTTTCCTGGAATTAGATTTTCGGCGCAATTAATTTAAATGAAAAATTATTGACACTTTACATTGCTATATCTTCGTACAAAAGATCATATCTATTTAATCTCATTTTAAAACATAAAGCTTCCATTTTGATCGCCCTAAATTTGTTTTTTTTTTTAATTTTAATATCATGTAGATAATAGAAAAGTGTTCTTTAAAAAAAAAATTTTAGTCTTCAAGACCATTATGGATCAAGTCATAAAAAATTTTTAAAAAATATTCAAATTTACGAGAATAAAAGTAATCTTACTTTCTCATTCACTATGTCATATAGAAATATTTTTGAAGAAAAACAAACTTAGATCAGTCAAAGAAATTCACGCTTTAAAGTAAATTGAGATCGAGTAGATTGTTATATGATTTTCTTTTACGAAGTTATAACAGTATTTAACAGTATCGATAAATTTTCATCATTACATGTTCAGTTATGCTCTTCACTGTAACAATAACATGTAACAAGTAAAGTGATTAATATTTTCTTGATTTATATATTCAACGTATGCTATTATGGAATTTTAGAAAAAGATACTTCTACAGAAAAAGATGACTAAATGAACATATTTATAATTTATACATAAATTTATTCTTGTTGGCTTCCATCCAAAGGAAGCTTTATCTACGAACAAAATATTAGCGTACTATATACTTAAATGCATAGTTAAAAGTATTATTTAAAAAATGATTTGGGAAATAGGAAAAATTGTAGGAACTGGAATGCCCTTTTAATCTTATTTGAACAAAATTTTGATACCATTTTCAAGAAATTTATCAAAAAATCGAAAAGTTCAGAACTTTAAAGCTCGACCTACATTCTTTCAGGAATTAAAAAAATCTTTTATATAAATTATTTTAAGGGGTGAAACCAAAAACAATGTTAAAAAAAAAATTTGAAGTGTAACTACTGAACTACTATATGACAAACACAAAAGCATTTCAGATTATAGTATATTATATACAAAAAAAACATTACAAAACTAAAGCTTTTTATTACATTTAATAGATTAAAAATAATAAGAAAAAATCATTTACACAAGAAGGAACGAATTATCATCTTTAAAAAAATAATTTTTAACTTCTTGAACATTAAGGTATATAATTCCCCAAAACATCTAAAAGAAAAGCGGTAAATAATGTAATATATTAGTTAATATATTACACAGAATTGTAATATTTATTTGCTCGTTTAAATATATCATGAGAGAAACGAGAATTAGCTTTGATCAGTATTGCAGTCTGCTCTATTTTAATATTTTACTTTATATTATATATAAAGTAAAATATTAAAGTAAAGTATTTCGTTGTTTCAACAATTAGATAAATAAGATGTTTTAAATTATAGTTATCCCATAGATCGCAATTATTTCTGAGAGCAGCATTGCAACGTTTATTCTGTCATAAACTTAAGTCCTATTATCAAGGATTATGATTTAGAACTTAACTACGATTTCGAGTCGAATTACTCGAGGGTTGAAAGCCGATTAAATTTAATTTAATACCTGATAATACCTAATAATTAGATTGGTTCAAACAATATATAATAGTTATTACTGAGAATCTTAGGAACAGACCTAAAGAATAAAAGCCGTAAAGCCACGCGAGAAATTACTCGTCTATAAGCTGGACAAATACATACGTGGTTAACTGGCCTCGACTGTACAAGAAAATGCTACTTTGACAATTCATCGCCCCAGGAAAATAAATAACGCTCGACTTGGACAGCCAAAGCAAGAGATGAAAATCACGGTCTCAAAGACGGAAATTTAGCTTTCTGTGTAGCTAGTAAGCGGATATTCGCAAATCTGTACTGGACAGTTTTAACTGTGCGCTGCAAACGTACAAAGGAATGCAATTTACTGTTCACTACTTTTTCCTAAAATTGAATTTTTTGTCAAGCGATATTTTGCTTAATAATGAGAAGAATTATCGATTGCTTATCCAATAATTATATTTAATATTTTTAAAAAAATTCACTTGAGCAAACCTTTTAGTTGTAAAATTTTTAATAATTCGAAATATCTTTAAAAATTTTTAAATTCATTTCGAAATTAATAAAATCATTTTTATATTACTATATTGTTATTGTATTTTGTACTTTTATTTTTTGTACGCACACGTCCACAAGATGAGGACACTGAAGAGGAAATGCTTTCTAATTTTATGTTGATTACAC